CAGGAGGGCCCGTCATGACTCCCCGGACTCCTCACCTCCCAGGAGGGTCCATCCTAACCTCCCAGATTTAGCTCCTGAGGTTTGTCATTCACTTTCTAGTAAAGCCCCTGCCAAGTGCTCTCTTGGTCTGAAGGAGAAGAGCAGTAGACATGGGAATGAATCTTCTCACCATAAAAATCGATCATCTTCCTCTCCTGGTCCAGGGAAACAGCTGCATGACTCCAGAGGTGAGTACCTTCTGTTCCAAACTTTCTCCTGGGCTTTTTGTTTATTTGGTCAGTCGACAACATTTATTAAGCTACCCCTTGGGCTAAACAGTGGGGAAACCAAAATACAGGCCTTGCCCTCAAGAAGCTCACTTTTTAATGAGGAGACAAAGGGAAGGGGCTAGTAGGGGGTGGGGAGGGGCTGCTGGGAAGGACCTTTTGTAGCAGGTGGTTTTTAAGCTGAGTCTTGAAGGAAGCCAGAAGGTAGAAATGAGGAGAGAGTATTCCAGACGGCGGGGGCGGGGGGGGGGGGAAGACCGTAGTGAGAAGTACAGAGTCAGGAGATAGACAGTTCTGTTGGAGAGTCACAAGAAGGCCTGAGTTGTTGGGTAGTAGAACACATCAAGGGGAGTAAAGTGTAAGAAGACTGGAAAGATAAAGGAGTTGGATTGTGAAAAGCTTTAAAAGCCACATAGAGTATTTTATATTTGATTCTGGAGGTAATAGGGAACTGCTGTAGTTTATTGAGTAGATGGGGGTGTGTGTGACCTGGTCAGATCTGTGTTTTAGGAAGATGACTCTGGGAACTGAGTGGAAGATTGACTGGAATGGAGAGAGACTTGAACCAGACGGCTGCTGCAGTCGTTTAAGTGGGAGGTCACGAGGGTCTACACTAGGGCAGTGCTAGTGTCAGAGGGGAGAAGGGGACATATGCATGCAATGACGTGGAAATAGAAATGACAAGGCTTAACAATAGATTGAATTATATGGGGTTAGTGTGAGTGAGTCGTAGAAGATGATACTGATATTACCCATTTGGGTGACTGGGAGAATGGTAGTGGCCTGGACGTTGGCAAGTGATGTGTGTTGGGGGGTGGTAAAAATAATGAGTTCTATTTTGGATACATTGAGTTCGAGATGGCTATGGGATACCCACTTTGAGATGTCCAGTAGGCAGTTGGTGGTGTAAGACTGGAGGTCAGGAGACCTTCAGGAAAGGTGTTAATCTCCTAGAAAGGTGAGTATTTCAGGATTCACATTGTCCCCTCTCTCCCTGAAGTGTGGCTCCTCTAGATTGCTTATCTACCTACTTAAAAAAAGATATAGCCAGTGGAGAAAGCACTTGGAGGGGGAGTAACATTAATACTAATGTCTTTGAGGACAAGGACTTTATTCATTGCCTTAAGAGTTCATAATCTTTAGTAGTGAGATTTGAACTAAAGAGTATTAGTTCCCAGAATCAATACCCTGGGAAATTTATTGTGCATTCCATCTTATTCAGAGTGGCATCTGTGGCAAAGGAGTGAGATTTAATCCTGTACGGTAAAAGTGCTCCCTCTTTCCCCCATGCCTAGACACTGGTTTCAACCTCTGACTTAAAGTGCTTTGAACTTTCTTGGTTCCTTAGTCCTGGGAACCTCAAAGCCATTTTCTAGGAATCCATAACATTCATACTACCCTTGGGAAATAGGTTAGGGTTGTTTTCTCCATTCTACTGATGGGAAAAACTCTGACCTGACTAGGGGACCTTGCTGTCTAACACAGCTGTCATAGATTTGGAAACATACATCATGACTCCCAATCTTCCAGTTGTCTTGGAAACACTCATCTCTTTTTTTCCCTCATGTTTTGTGTGGATTGGGCATTCGCATCATTTACAGGTCCTCTACAGAAAATGGAATGTCATTGAGTCAAATGTTCCTAGAGAAGGAGTTTTAACTGATCTGAAAGCACAATCCAGTCAAAGAAAAATTTATTTCTGAATTATTCTTAAGTGTTTAAAATGTTTCTCCCTTAATTTCTAGACTCTTCTCCCAGCCATAAGAAATTTCAGACAAACCCCACAACCAAGAAACACCAGAGGCCTGATACAGATTCTTCTCGTCCTGGGAAGAGAAACCAGCAGGCTTCTGATTCAGACCTGTCTCCTCCACGGAACAAGCAGAAACGAGACTCTGATTCAGACCTCTCCCCACCAAGAAGGAAGCAGAAAACCAGGGCTTCTGATTCAGACCTCTCTCCACCCCGAAGGAGTCAGCCTACTGGAGCAAAGGTGGGTGTTCCAAGAGTTTAGTCACCCCCCTCCACGCAGAGTGCCTCATCTAGGCCACGTAGATGTCAACTAAAAAAAGTAGCCAATAGAGAAAGCCCTTGAAAGTGTAGTAACTAAGACTAGATTGCTAACTCCTTGAGGACGAGGCCCTTTTAGTTATCCCCATGCCTCCCTCAGCACCCAGCACTATATATTCACATTGTAGATGTGTTCAATAAATGTTTGTTTATTTGCTATCTGAATGAATGAAGAATTCTTAGACATGAAGGATCTTTAAAGGTCATTCTTGTAAGCCTTGCCTAATGGCAAGGCTCATCTTAACCCAGTCCATAAAGGTCTTGTGTATATCCAATTTTCCCAAGTATCTTCTGCATTTATTACCTCTTAGATCTGTCATACTAATTTTAGGAAGCCCAAAAAGCTACTTTTTTCCCCCTCTTGACCAAAGTACTGTAGTTAGTTGCTGATTTATAGAATTTAGTTTCCAGAGCCTGAAGACTAGTGCCTAACATGAAGAAGCTTTGGAAAACCTAGCTTCTGTTAATTCCAGGAGCTCAGGGGCTCTCCAGCTTAGACAGGGCCTTGGTGTGCTAAAGAGCCAGACAGAACCTGTGTAGTTATAATAAAATAGGATTATAGTAAAGGAGTTTTATTCCAAAGAATTCAGTGACATTCAACAAGCATTTATTAAATGCCTACTATGTGCCAAGCATATATGTGCCCACTTACTTGCCAGGTGCTGGGGAAAGAAAGACAAAAGTGGAAATTGTCCCTGCTCTCAAGGTACTGAGGGGAAATAACAAGCACACTAAAATCCATGTAGATGCTCCCTCAGGCTTCCTACATGCTCCTATTTCCTCAGCCTCCTTAGTTAGGTTCCATGACTTATTTCATCACTCCCCTTGAGGCAGTACCCAAAAGTCTTCCACTTCCCTAATTAGAAACAATAGCAGTCTCCTATCTGACCATAACCTCTTCTCATTTCATCTTTCCACATACAACCCTCCTCCTACGCCTAGTATTCATCTTTATTGAGACCTTCATTCCTTTCACGCCTCGCTACGGTCTTAGACCATTACCTTTGTTCTGACTTCATTTTCCTGCCTCTCCATTCTCAACCTGGTAGTTGGTCATTTCAAATCTAACCTGTCCTGTGCTCCTGAATCTTGCCCTCTTTTGCCCTCTTGCCCTCTTTGTCCTATGGATGCTCTTCTGTTGCCAGACCTTAGCACTGGGTTACTACCAGTTCCACTTCCTCTGCTCCTCCTTGTGAGCTATTTCATGAACCTGGAGGAAGTCTCACATTCATAATGACTGGGTACATTTTAAATTCCGGTTATCTAACTTCAACTGAGACCCTGCTGTAGTAAGGAAGTCCTAATATTCCTCCCCAACAGATTCTTTAGCTCATTTCCCACAAAAACTATTCCAAACCTTCTCTTCCCTTCTTGAGCTTGCTAGACCTCATTCTTTTCTCCATTGAGGACCTTGCCTCTTACTTTACTGAAAAAATTGAGACCATTTGATGTGAGTCCCCTCTTCTCCCATTTTTTCATCTCAAAACTCCTTAACATCATCTGCCACTTTTGTCCAGTTTCTGACAAAGAACTAGCCCTTCTCCTGGCCAGAGCAAGTGCATGTATGCATTTATTTCCTTCCCCCATCTTCTCCAGCAGATTGCACCCTCAGTCATCTCCCTTCTCTCTTGAATCTTCAACTTTATCACCTGATTCTTTGCCTACTGCCTTCAAACTTGCCCATTTGCCTCTATCCTTAACCTAGACCTAGCCATCCCTTCAAGCTATTATCTTATGTCTTTCTTTCCTTTCTCAACCAAACTCTTTGAAAAAGCTATCTATCCCCAACTGCCCGCTTCTCCTCTCACTCACTTCTCAACCCTTTGCAGTCTGGCTTCTGACCCAGTCATTCAACTGAAACTGCTCTTTCTTAAATTACCAATGATTTCTTAGTGACCATATCTGATAGTTTTTTTCGCAGTCCTCATTCTTCATGATCTCTCTGCTGTATTTGATTCTGCTGACCACCTTTTCCTCCTGTGTATTCTCTTCTTTCTGGTTTTTCAGGACACTACTCTTTCCTAGTTTGTCCCCTATCTGTCAGCCCATTCCTTTTGAGTATTTTTTGCTATCTTGTCATCTGTATCACTTCCCCTGTCTTTGAGTGTTCCTCAAAGTTCTTTCTTAGGCCCTCTTCTCCTTCTACATTCCCTTGGTAACTTCATCAGCTCCCATGGATTTAACTATCATCTCTAGGAAACTGACTCCCAGCCCCCATCTCTTCCTTGAGTTTCAATCCCATAACCAAGCACCTACTGGATATTTCAAACAGGATATCCTGGAGACATCTTAAATTAAACAGGTCTAAAGTGAAATTCATTAACTTTCCCTCTACACCCTTACCTTTGCCAAAGTTTCCCATTCTGCCAATGACACCACCATCCTTCCGTTCTCCAAGGTTCATCAGTAACTCAGCTTCTCATTTTTCTTCCCTCACATATCCAGTCAGTGGCTACATCTTGTTGTTTCTACCTTCACATATATTGTATCTACCCTCTTCTCTTTACTCACACAACTACTGCCTTAGTTTTGGTCTTTATCACCTCTCACCTAGATTATTGCAATAGCCTTCTAACTGACCTTCCTCCCTCAAGTCTCTCCCCATTCTAGCCCATCCTAGTGTTGCCAAAGTAATGTTTCTTAAATTAAAGATCTGACCATTCAACTCCCTTAGTTATGAAGCAGCTAGGTGGGGCAGTGGATAGAGGGCTGGCTTCTGGAGTCAGGAAGACCTGAATTCAAATGTAATCTCAGATATTATTAACTGTTGTGATTCTGGGCAAGTCATTTAACTCTGCCTTAGTTTCCCCAACTGCAAAATGGAGATAATATTACCTGCCTCTCAGGGTTGTTGTCAAGTTCAAATGAAATAGGAAAGTGCTTAGCACAATGCCTAGCACATGGTAGGGGCTTAATAAATGTTTGATTCCTTAAGCACTCCAGTGGCTTCCTTTTGCCTCTAAGATAAAATATAAAATTCCCTTTTAGCTTTTAAAGCCCTTCACAACTTGATCCCAGCCCATCTTTCCAACCTTGTTGTACAGTACTCCTTCCACACTCTGTGTTCCAGACAAACTTCTTCTCTCTGTTGCTCACTGATGAGATTCCCACTCCCTGCTCCGTGCAATGTCTATCCCGCATGCCTGGAATGCACTGTTTCCTTGCCTCTGCCTCAGAGTATCCCTCTCTTCTGCGCAGCTGAGGAACCATCTTCTGTGTGAAATCTTTTTTGATTCCCCCAACTGCTAGTGCCCTTCTTCCCAGACTACCTGACTTTTACCTACTTTTATATAGTTGTATTTATTGACTTTATATTTAAGCTATGTTTATTTTTATAAGTATTTGTCGCTTTCTAGTAGAATGTAAATTCATTGCAAGTAGGAGTGGTTTCATTCTTTGCATACATAACCCTGGCACAGTAACTAGCACGTAATAGGGGCTTAATAAATGCTTGTTGGTTGATTGATGAGTAAATGCAAAGTATATAGAAAGTAATTTTGGGGTGGGGAGAGTTGGGTAAGTGCTAATAAGAATTTATTAAACTTCGTTTAAAAAGAATAAAATCTGGCAGATTTTAACATGACCCAGGGATACGTGTATGCTATTTCTTTCTTGAGAATTTTATTGCCCTCTAAGAGCAGATCTGGCCCGGTACTTTGTTTTGATTAATTTTTAGGGCTTTTTTTCCCTGCACTTAACAAATACATACTAGAATGAAAAAGAGGATTGTCTATAAGACTGCAGGTCTCTATTATGTACAGCTTGCTTTTCTTTTTAAGTATATAATACGATCAGCTTGGAGCTTTTTTTTTTTTTTTTAAGTAACTGGCTACATAGATCAAGAAACTCAAACCACTTATTTGAATGAATGAAGTAAAACATTTCTTTTGATCAGATCACTGAAATTTCATCTATCTCTGTGTTCCATGCTAACTCTTGAAGCAGTCAATATTGTGCAAATTTAGTATGCTACTGAAAGGTATTAGCAGTTACCTTACATTTGATTTTTGGGTCACTTTACCATCTTGAAACAATGGCTGATAGAAGTTTTTAAATGACCACATCATTTGTGATTGTATTGTCTACAGTTCACAGAACCATGGATATTGGGGTTTATTGTTGTAAGTGGAGTATTGTAGAGCAGTGTAAACTTTTTTAGTTCATGGTACAGGTTTCTGACCAGCTTCATAAAAGTGAACTTAAGTCCCTTCTCCAGATAATAAGTTTAGTACTTGGTAAATGAGAACTACTGCTGTTTAGTATTGCCTTTAGTAAACTAGTATCTTAGTTTAAGATTCTTTCTCCCCATAAAACTGGAAAAATCATTACTTCTTCACAAAAGCTCTCCTTTTGGGTTTTGTTTTCATCCTCTTTTCTTACTTTGCTTGTCCTGTGATCTATATTGAGGGTATAAAATGAAAGCTAACACATTCCTTTCCCAGAGCATTTGTTCCCTAGTTGTTGTGGATAATCTAGTTAAACTACAACTGTTAGTGTTTGAGTCCCTCTGGTATGTACCTGTTGGGGAGGTATGCTGTCTCATTCATTTGTGGTACCCCCTTTCAATTGCACAGGCCACGCAGATGTTTTCTGGGGCCAAAACTGGGTTGGTGTCTGATGTAAGGAGAGAGCAGCAGGAGCTCAGGAGGCAGGATCAAGAAACCAAACATTTGGAAGGTAAAAACTTGGAGACCAGTAGGCTAATCCAAGCTCATGAAGCTTCTTAGTCATCTTTTGGTCTGTTAACTGATGTAGGATTTAAGCTCTGGTTTTTATTACATTATTTGAACCATTCATTGGGTCCAAGTGATTCTTTTCCTTCTTTTCCGTGATATAATTTCTTAGGTCTGTAGCTGACAAAGATCTGTAGCTTGGGTGGTAGTCTGTGGTCCAGCTATAAAGTTATTTACTCTCTAGCTTCAGGGCCCTGAGCTGTTACTTTTCCCTTTTAAACTTAGGACACTTTTCCTCTCTTCACAATTCTGCAAGATTGATTTTGATACTTCTTTACATTAAAAAGGAAAAAAAAAGACCCTGAAATTGTTCTTTGCATCTTTTTTTAGCTGAATTCCAAAATGCTGAAACCATTTTTCGAGATAAGTCTGGCCGCAAGAGGGACCTGAAGCTGGAACGATTAGAGCAACGGCGAAAAGAAGAGGAGGAGTCAGAAAAAAATGAGCAGTATGCTCAGTGGGGAAAAGGGTAAGAGAAACACTGAAGGTATTTAAGCTTTGGGTTACACTGTAGAGATTTGGTAGAGCCAGTTTTACTACTCTGCTGACAGGTGGTAGTAGTAGCTCCATCTCCTATCTTCAAGGATATTGGGAACAAGATAGCATTTTGGATTTCATTGGTTGTTAGAGGAAATGCTGCAAGTAGAGTAGGGTATTTCCATCCTCATTTAGAATCAGGAATTGTAGACAGTCTTCCAAAGGTTATTCTCTTTATTCAGCCTTGCCCAGAGTCGGCAGCAGCAGCAGAATGTGGAGGATGCAATAAAGGAAATGCAGAAGCCATTGGCCCGCTACATCAATGATGAGGACCTGGATCAGATGCTCAGAGAGCAGGAGAGAGAGGGTGACCCCATGGCCAACTTCATTAAGAAGAATAAGTCCAAGGAGAACAAAGACAAGAAAGGTGAGGCTTCCTAAGGCGTGGAAGGGAGAGAGCAGAGAGCAGACCATGTGATAAGAATCATTTCAGAGTGGTGGGAGCCACGACTGTCAGTGGTATGTCCTCATTCTTAAAGGTCAGCTATAGACCTAACTATTGATTGATTACCGATGATGGTTTTGCACACACAGAGGTGGCATGACTTCAAGTTATCTCCTTTGATATGTTTGGTCTCTCGCTCAGGAGGTCTCATTATATGGGTTCCATTAGACATAGATTTCTGCACAGAAATGTTTTCTTTGCAGGAAAGGCCGCATGGTATCATGGAAGGGGCTCTGGGAGCTTGGAGTCAGACCTGAGTTTGAATTCTAGCCCTAGAACTCAGTAGCCATGTAACCCTGGGCATAGCCTTGCTGAGCCTCAGTATTATGAAACTTGCACTACTTGCTTATCTCACAGAGCTGAGGAAAATCTAAGCAAAAAAGCTGAGGAAAGGCTTCTTAAACCTTAAAGTATTTTATAAATGAGATGTTTTTCTTCACTGTTGGTAACAGTTCTGGCAGTTGGAATGAAATTGTGACTAAGTCCTCTCTCTCTCTTTTTTTTCTTTAGAAAAGCCTCGTTACAATGGTCCTGCACCTCCGCTCAACAGATTCAACATCTGGCCTGGGTATCGCTGGGATGGTGTGGACAGGTAGACCTGTGTGCTGATTATTCATTGTCTCCTAGGTTGTCTGTGTTTTTCCTGCTACTTAGCTCAAGTTGACCTTAGCTTAACTGGCTTCATCTTTTTTGAGAGACTCTGTAGCATAATGGATACAGCCAGTCTTGAAGCCTGAAAGACTTGTGTTCAAGGCTGGTTCATTTCAGCTACATACTAGTTGTGTGACCCTGAGCGAGTCACTTAAATGAACCATTCAGGGTTCTAAACAACTCTCAAGACTATAAGTTGCAGAGAAGATGCCAGTCTGCATTGGTAGAGGGAATTTCCTCATCTGGAAGTTTTCTACATCTGTGAAATCACAGGTCTTGTCCTTATCTGTTATCTTTTAGTACACCCTGTCTCATACTCTGTTCCAGCTACACATTTATATCTCAAGTGCTTAGCACATAGTGCTTAAAAAAATCTATTTCTCCCTCTCTCTCTCTTTCTGTCTCCCCTCCCTTCTTTCCTTTTTCTTTCCTTTCCCTTGCTTCCTATTTTCCTTCCTTCCCTTTTCTTTCCTTTACCTTCCTTCCTTCTAACAATTATCATCCCTACTCTTTTTTTTTTTTTTTAGGGCAATTAGAGTTAAGTGACTTGCCCAGGGTCACACAGCTAGGAAGTGTCAAGTGTTTGGTCTGAGGCTGGATTTGAACTCAGGTCCTCCTGACATCAGGGCCTGTGCTCTATCCACTGTGCCACTTAGCTGCCCCCATCCCTTACTCTTGGAATACATCCTTCTTTCTTCTTCTAAACACTCTTGTTCTGTGGTGAAACATGAAGAGAACTACATTATCTCATGCCTTTTGTATCTAATGCTCATCTGTAATGCTTTCTGGCCACTTTTCCTGCCACTAGCCAAAGATTTGGGAAGAACCTCTTTTTTTAGTCATAGCCACCCTGGTCTTTTAATTCTCTTTATTATTTTTTGGTGGTGAGTGACATTTTGCTTAGTCACCAGTTTAAAGGTTAAGCAATGACTTTACTACAGGTATGGGAAGAGGAATTTTAGAGCATAAAATATACAGAGATAGACAAATGACAGATATACAGTGTGGTCTCAGAGTCTATTCTCTCCCTGCCTTTAGCTATCCTGGCTTCTTAGCTCTTCCTGCTCCTAGGACAGTGACAGTTACCTCTCTTTGCTCCACTAGACACTAAGGAAGAAAGACCTTTTCTGGGTGATTCTGGAGGCATAGACCTTGAGTTATTTAGGCTCCCTCATAACCTGAGCTAGTTCTTTTCCCTTAGCTCAAAAGCTCAGAAATCTCCCCAAATTAGCTCCCCATTAGTGGCCAGCTTATCTTAACTTTCCCAGTAGATTCCCTACTATTCCTGGTTTTCACTTGTGCCTAGATCTCTTATACTTACTTTTCTCTGGTTATTCATACTTCTTTCTATCTGTCACTTATTCTGTTTCCTGTTAACTTCATGCCCATCATAGTTAGACATTACAAAGTCCCTTTGTTACCGTAGGTTATACATGAGACACAGGAAAAGAGGGTGCACTGAGTATACTTATGATTGGCATGGAGAGATGCAGTCATTACAAGCTCACCCACCTATAGATTTCTTTTACCAGCCTTATTTCATTTTAGTCACTTCAGCTTTTCCACATGACATGTCTTTATAGGTTTCTGTACAATGATTGAATCATGTATTTTTTTAAATGTGTGCTTATGTGTCTGTTCTATATTTTCCCCTTAAATTATAAGGTCCTTTAAGGAGTCAGGATCTATCTTTTCCTTTCTGTGGGTTTCCCCCTAGAATGGCCTGTACAGGTACCTGCATACTGATAACTACTGTGGTATCTCTTTTACTTTCAGGTCCAATGGCTTTGAGGAGAAGCGTTTTGCCCGACTTGCCGGCAAGAAAGCTGTTGATGAACTTGCCTATAAATGGAGCATTGAGGATATGTAGCTCTTGTAGCTAAGCAATGGCTGTAGATTCTGATGGTGGGCAAAGGACAGATAAGATGGCCAGGGCTAACAGTTTACACAGACCAGCTGTGATTGCCACCAGTGACCCTGGGAGAGAGCTTAGGCTTTGACATCTGGTTGTTGGGGGGCACCGTGACCCAGGGAAATGTCCATATTCTTCAGTCATTCACACAACTGCTTCTACTGTTTTTTAAGTGGCACGTGCACCACTGAGGGTCATACAAGTGCCCCAGAGTTCATTCTTGATTGAGCTTTTTCTTTTTTTTTTCTAACAAATATACATCTATTTTTGTAACTATTTTTCTTTCTGTGTTCTGTTTTCTTAAGGATTCTAAAACAATTGGTTCTCCTTCTAGTGGGCCCTGTGGGGGGTCATATATCATGTATCTAGAACATAGGTGGCAGGGGCTTTCTCAGGGTTAAGTGAGGGTTAGAAGTGGTTTAAGAAGCAGGGATCAGCTTGGATGGTTTTGGTGCACTGCTCACTTCTCATCTTCCTGGAGAATGACTGTCTGGCCATTGTGCAGCCATTTGGAGCAGAACTTGGCTTTGAGTCAGTTCCTGCATTTGTGAGAATAAGGGACTCTTATTCTTCACTTGAAACATGTTAGATGGAATCCCTGCCAAACTGGGGCTCATCTTCCCCATCCTCTTCTTAACTCTGGCCAAGAATTGTCAAAGAGAAGCCTAGGCTCAGAGCTGATAGGTAAGGGGGACGGGGGGAGACTGGTTGATTCTTGCTTGGGGAACATTCTGGAAAAGGGTCTGAATTATCCAGAGCATAATGTTTCCTAAACCTTAGAATTTTTTTTGCTAAGGTGTTTGTGAAAATATAGATAACACTTTTGAGAAAAGTTTGGTCATTTTTTAAACTGTTCTATGCGCCAGTCCCTTTCCTTGAGCAGGTGGTGGTAGGTCTAGTCACTGCCATATTCCCTTGTTTTCTCCTCACAGCTGAGTTTTGTTTGATCAAGAATCTCTGGTTTCATATTTACTACTTTTTTTTTTTAGGACCCTTCACTGTTTACCTTGCCGGGAAATACTTAATGACTGCTTCACTGGTATATGTCAGAACATACCACTAATTGGGATGAGAAGGGGAGATATCATTTATTTTTGCAGGGACTGGCCCGGAGGGGAAACAGATCGACTGCTCTGTTCCTGTTGATTAATGGGCTTAATCCATATTATTTTAAATTTATAAGCTTTTCTGTTTCTCTGCCCTTAAGTGTTTGGGGACACCACAGACTTGGGGGAATGATACTTCTGGGTCTGGCCTGTTAATAACTGGCTGTATGATTTTATGACTTGGAACTGGAATGCACTGTTATTTACCTTGCAGGACTAGGGGAGGCATGGTCTGGGGTCTTTCGGAATAGTAGGAATGAGTATCTCCTGGAGATGTTCTTCTCCTTCTTCCATCCTCAGTTTAATAATAAAGTTACATAATGACCCAGACTTTGGTGGTAGATTACCCGAGACACCTTAGATCCAAGGAGAGATGAAGAACATACAATTCTCGTGTTGTAAAAGGCCTTCATGGGAATGGCAGATCATTTTATCAGATCAAGAGTCACAGTAGTTACAGAAACCTTTTTGATTAAAGGAAAAAATTTTAATCAGTTTTAGAACCTCTTTCTCTATTCTGTCTTCGTAACTCTGATAAAACTATTTAAGACCAATTAAACAGTAGGAAGAAACATGCTCTGGACAGAATATAATTGATGGCTTATTGTGTCCTTGGTCAGTGCCACTTCAGGTAAACTGGTTTGGGGCTTATTCCTTTTTTCTAGAAGAAGGTTGTTTTCAAAGCTGTAGGGTGCCTAAAATCCTTATTTTCTGGGTAGAAAACTGACAGAGGACTGCCTCCTGAGCCCCAGATAGTTTGCTCAGGTGAGTTGAGTTGTAGTCTCTGTGTTTGTTTCTGTGTCCTGGTTTTGGATCAGACAAGTATACGGTGGACAGCTGGGCAACTGAAGTGACCTGCAAGAATAGTGAAAAAAGCCATAGTTCTGGGTTTTGGAGTTGACCCATTTCTTCCCCAGGAATACTGGCTTTCTCTGTGACATACCAACCCCCTTGGTGTAAATAGGATTGACTTCTTAAGCCCTTGCTTTTTACCTGTATACCTCCCTGTACACAGTGGAGAAGTCATGGTTTCCCTCAATCTTGATGCCACTGCTTTTGGGTTTGAATAACTTCACCTTCTTGGCAATTGTAGGCATGAAAGTGCTCTTGGTGGTGGTTTGGCTTTCAAATGGCAGCTAGGAATCCAAGTTATTGGGAAGAGAAAAAAGAGGATGTTCAGCCGGAGTAGCTGGAGTGGGAGAAGGTGAAATCTTACTTCTCCAACAGCTAGTAAGGACCATCACCTCCTCTGAGGTTGTGAGAAATTATTCTACCGCAAGGAAAGGAGAACAATGGTGAAAATATGCTGTCTAGTCCCTTTTCCCCCTTTTGCCATCTCCCCATCATCAGTAGGGCCTATCATCTGTGATTTTTTTTCCCCCAAGAGATAAGAAAAATTAAATGTGGAAAGGTTAAGTTATGTCCCCAAGATAATGTAATAAATGTCAGACCAAGTATCAGAGTGTGAGCTGAGGAAGGACCCCAGGGGGCCAATCCTTTCTCTCCTGCCTGCTTGCTTACGACAGGCCTAAGGTAGGTCCCATCATGGACATCTCTGTGGTGGATTCGGGGTTGGGCTCCCCAGTTCTGGAAGAATTGCTTGTTGGTGGTGACATCTTGAAACTTTGCTTCAGGAACTCTGAATATGCTGGTGGGATGCTTGCCTGTGGCTACTTTTATTGTTTTGAAGGGTGGTGGGAAAGAAACCTAGAAAGAGAGCAGAGGGGCAGAAAAGGCAGCACTTGAGTTGTAGGAAATCAGGGTCTGGATTCCCAGGAATTAGCGGGTTGAGGTAAACTTGGGCAACAGAGTTTTGTACGCCGTTGGTGTTATAAGATCCTAAGCTGGTGGCCACTTTGCATAGATTGTAAGCTGACTACCTTGGTCACTGTGGAGTCATCAAACTTCGCGTTGCTGTTCCTGACCATATTGGTAAGCTCATCCTGCAGGTGCACAGGTTTTGGTTGCTGATAGTTGCTTGGATCCCAGCCATCATAGGCTTCCTTATGCACAGTACGAAAGTCTCTGCTATGCATGGGGGAAAAAATGCAAATACAGGTAGAGTGAGCAGTACTTGGGAACCATCCCAGGTGTACCAAATCTGAGGGCATGTCATTTTCTTTGCCTATGATTTCTGAAAGTTTGCCTACGTTAGAAGATGTTTCAGGTTTGTTTTTCTCACCCTATTTGCTCATCATAAATTCAGCAAAGAAGGGACGATGCTAAGGAAAGGGGTAGTAGGGGAGGATCCCTAGAAACCCCAGCTAGGCAGCTAGGGGTTCTTTGCTATACCTCAAAAAAGGTAACCTGAGAAAATAGTTGGACACAGTGGTAGGGGTGGCAGGTTTTTCTTCCCATCAAGTGTGAGGAGTCTTTTCAGGGTGGAGACCATTCCCTTACCTATGTACTTGAAGTGCTGCAATCCCGGGGTACTCTGCGAGGAATAGAGAACTGACTTGGGGTCCAAATGGGCCTCTGATTTTTTTACCCATGAGTAAGAGGCACATGGAGAACTATCCTTAACCCCAGTGGGAGTCAATCACCAAGGGGAGGAGAGATGGGGCAAAATTTGGGGCAAAAATGAGGTGTCCTCCAAGAGATAGGAAACTGGGAAGAGGCAGGGCAGCTTTTTGATAGTTGTTTGGGGAAGGCCAACCATTTCCTGCCTTCTGGCACAAGTGTTTGAAATGATTTCTTTCATGTAATTATGTGGAGCTTTGCCCTTAATTTGAAGAGCATTTGAATGTTTCTTTTAACATGTTTGAGGTGAGAGGCCTCAAAAAAAGGTGGAATTATGAGAATGCAAGATGCTAAAAAAGGCCATTAACCTGCTCTGCCCTTGCCTCCATATTTTGGAAACTAATGAATATTTTCCTGCCAACTTCCCTGTGAAGAGCAGCGCTCTTTCTTTTCCCAATCCTAAAGCTGCCCTTGCATTCACAAGCTAACTACCCGAGATGCTGGTATTAGGACTGGTATCTTATGAAGTAGGCAAGGCAGTTTGAATGTGGATAAGACCATAGGGCAGAGTTTAGAAGTTGCTGTGGTACCTAGTGAGACAGCCTGTATTACTCTGGTATTCCAGTGGTGTGACTTTTCTTCTTTGAATGCGAACTGGAAAAGCTTGCTGACCAGAGGGTGGGGGAGGGAAGAATACTTGGTTGGTGGTAAGCATGTTGTGGTTACCTGATGGCAAAAAGAGCAAGTACAGAGGGGCCTCGTGAGGGATGACATTACAAGATAGCCTGGAAGGCAGGCCTCCTGAACCCTTGTGTGTAATGGGTCTATAAGTGTAGGCAGGCCAGTACTGCCTTCCACTCATGTCTCCAATCCATTCCAGCAGGCAGTACTTAAGCAGAACGTTGTACTAGGTGCTGGAGATGCAAAGACAAGAAGAAAAATAATTACTACTCTTAAGGAGCTCTTTCCCAAATCAAAACTGAAGAGTCTTAGTTTAAAATTTGAGGTCTTCTACTGGTACTTTTCTGAGTTTTCAAAGTGATTGGCACCTAACTGATACTATATAACATGGAAAAGAAAACAGGATGAGGGTGTTTGGTTATAATTGAGGGACTCTCGGGGGGAGCCTAGCTGACTTTGGAAATGTTTGCTTAATATTCTTTCTCTAGTTGTTAGTTCCCATCTTTTTTTTGGTTGGGGAGTGGGAGTGTTGCTGTGGGATATTTAGGAACTGAGGGGTCAGGCCCTGTTTGGTAAAGGAAGTTGTCTCTCCTTTTTTATCCTAACTTTCATCTCCTGTAGGGACAGTCTCACCTGATTGGATAGGTTTCTTCATATAGCTGGTCCCAGGCATAATTTTCCAAGGCTTGAAACAGTCTTGGTGGGTTGTGTTGATGTGGTAATAATACTCAGACTCAAATTGTTGGCCAAAGCAGAAGGCTGAGAAGGCAGGGGTCAGAGACACGGATTGCAGGTGATGCTGAGTATCTTCTGGTGAGATTTCCGAGGGTGAGGCCACCTTCTGCAAATAAAATCTTGCTGTCTGTGGGGTAGCCCACTCTGAGGAGCATGATGAAGGCCTCAGCTTTTCCCCTTTCCCAGTTATTTTTTCCTTAGGTTTTAAAAAAAAAGTCCTATTGATGCCCTTTGTTTTTACATCACAATAATTTCTGGATAGATCTCCTTCCTTCACTCCTCACTTGAAGC